GAAAAGATAGCGTTATTCCTCTCAATGAAGCAGAGGAAAGTAAGATAATAAATTTATTAAGAGGAACATTGACTTATCCGCATTCTATGACATTGGATGTCGCCTTTGAGAAAGGATACATTTTGAGTACTGTGAAACCATGGACGCTACAAGAAGCTTTAGCTCTTCAAATATATGATCCAAAGTTAGGCACTTTTAATATTGATGGTAACAATTGTACTTTGGAGGAGGCGATGGAAAAAGGCTTTATTAGCAAAGACAGTCCATCGATTAAAGATCCGAGAAACAATGATATTATATCTCTAGGCGACGCTATTAAACACGGCTTTATCAACGCGAAGACTAGTACGGCAGTGGATCCATGTACCAGTGCATCTCTTTCGTTAACCGATGCTTTAGATCGTGGCTTTATAGTGCCAGCGAAACGTAAGATATCCCTACCAGACGCCGTCTTCAAAGGCTTATACGATCCCAAGACTGGACAATTTACGATACCTGACACACAAGAGAAGCTTCCTACTGATCGCGCGATTAAGATGGGCGTGATAGATGCCACAACTGCGATCGTACGAGATCCCAACGGCGACGTGATGACGTTCAATAAGGCTATTAAAACCTCCATAGTTGATCCTAAATCCGGAACAGTTAGTCATGCCAGAGGACCGCCTGTCGATTTCCAGGAAGCGCTGGAACGTGGTTTGCTTCTCGAAACAAGGAGGCCTATGAGCTTCAGCGAGGCAATTTCAAAGGGCATCCTCGATGAGAAGACCAACAAATTTTTAGATCCGCAGACGGGAATTTATTTAACAATATTGGAAGCTATTCAAAAGAATCTAATAGACGCTGACTCGGTTACCGTCAAGGATACAAGGTCCAGCATCTGGAAAACGCTGACGCTAATGGAAGCTATACAATCTGACTACGTGGACGGCACTACTGGCTACCTCAAAGATCCTAACAAAGGTAACAGGAACGTATCTTTGAGGGACGCCTTTGAATCTGGCCTCATCGTTGACAATAGAGCAGCCGTGTCTTTGCAGCGTGCCATCCATCAAGGATTGTACGATGATAACACGGGTAAGATCACTGATCCTAGTACAGGTAGAGCCGTGACGTTGCATGAAGCGATGAGAAAATGTGTAATCAGCCCCACGTTACCGTGTTATTGGGACAAGCGTGGCGAACGTTTGTTATCATTGGCAGAAACATGTCGTGCTGGCGTAATTGACAGGCGCACCGGTATGTTCAAACGGTCTTATCATCGATATAGAGAGCATGGGATTTGGCTTATACGAGGCGATATTAATGAACATGTACGACATTTCGTCAGGCAAATTTATACATCCAACCAGTAACCGCAAGCTGACGTTAGCTGAGTCATGCCAAGTGGATCTAATAAATCCCTTGACATCGATTATCAAGTGCACCAGGTCTAACAAATACATCCCACTGGCCGAAGCAATCTCCTCGGGCATCGTCGATGACATTCGTGGCATGTATGTCATCCGCGAACTTGACAAAGCGATTAATCTCCAAGAAGCAGCGAAGAAGGGCTTCATCGTCACATCAAAGACGCCCCTCTCGATCGAGGAAATAATCAAGTGCCATCTTTACCGTAGCGATAGTGGTAAATTTGCTAATCCCGTTGTTAACGAATATCATGATTTGCTCCAAGCGATTAATTGCGGTCTCGTAGATCCTGATACTACCGCCTTAAAGGATGCGACGACCGGACAGATCAAATCGCTATTAATGGGCATCGAAGACGGGACGGTCGATGTGTCTCGAGGAAGAATATTGGATCCTAAGACGACACGCGCTTTTAATATTGATATAGCTTTAGAAAGAGGTCTATTGGTCACAATCGACAAACCTCTAGCGCAACAAATAGCACATAGATCACCCTTAGAAGCCTCTAAAGCCGGACTTGGCGACAAAAATGTCAAAGAATGCACTTTGGAAGAAGCGATTAACTATCAACTGATTGATCCAAATACGTCGGTTGTAAGAGACCCTAGAACCGGCCGATTTGTGACGACGGCAAGAGCGATTGCGGACGGTGTCGTAGATCCCTCCGTCAGAGGCACGATTGAATTGAACGGCGGAAACAAAAGGGAACCGCGTTTCGTGCGTTTCGGTGATGTCACCGTATTCGTTAGGGAACCTTTCACTTTTGAAGAGGCAGTGGAGAAAGAGTATCTATCGTTAGAATCGGGCAAATTAACGGATCCGATCTCGAACGAACAATTGACTCTAAAAGAGGCGGTCGGTCTCGGTATCGTAGACTCTGACTCGGCGTTGATTAAAGACTCGCAGAAGAAGAAGTTGGTAAAATTGCCGGAGGCATTCCGCAAGGGCATGATGGACGCTGAAAAGGGCAATGTTCTGGACACTGCTACATCCAAGTTGTACAGCTTGCCCAAGGCTCTGGAAGCCGGCCTGTTGATCACCCCGAGGAACGGCGTTTCGTTTATCGAAGCGCTGCAGTTCAATCTTTACAATCCTACCACGGGCAGCTTTTATGACCCCTTCGTTGTCACTTCCGTGTTAGATCGTAGGCGCCTCACGCTGGCGGATGCGATCGAGTCGGGCCTAATCGATCCGTCCACCACCGTGATCAAAGATCCGTTCACGGGTAATATCGCGAGTCTGTTAGAGGCAATGAGTAGCGGGAAGGTAGATTCCATAGAAGGCAGATTAGTCGAGGACACTGATGACAAGAGTATCGACTTCATGAAGGCCTTGGAGCGGGGTTATATACTCGCCGCTGAAGCCAGGGTAAGTAGCACCAACCAGAATGATGCCTTTTACACATCCCTGCGATTCCTGCACCAATTGAATTTGGTTCTTTGTCCTCTGTTCGTTTATTTTTTTTTCTTACTGTTTGGGTTTCCAATTTTTCTCACACTCGAGTTTACGTTTGCTACTGTTTCCACTCACGATTCTCTAACAGCTTCTCCGAGAGTTGGATGTGATTATCATTACGCTGTCACGAATCGACATTACGTTTTTATTGTCGTGCGATTCTTTCTCTGTCACATCTTGCCTTGCCTGACGTGAAGTTTTATATCATTATCATTCGCGAAGAGAACCCGCATGATGGTCCCGCATGGGACCTCTAAGATTTCGTTTTTTATTCGCATAACATTATTATCACATATCGATCAAAGATTGAAAAGAATAATACGCGTAATGTGCATGAGCATAAATTAAAATTATTCTCACTCTGATCTTATCTCTTTCTCCCTCTACTTCATAGAGGAATCATCCCCGTGCTTCCTTTTATCGGAATGCACTTCAAACGGTTTATCTCAGATTTTCCTCATCATGTAATACACCATACTTACCTTCCTTCATTACCTTAATGTGGGTTCAGTAAAGGTCGGCCATCATCATGAACGACACTAATTGGACACTACGTACGTTTTCTCGAGCTCATCGTTTACAATCGACGATCTACAAACCATCGAACAGTATCGAACATCGTATCATGAACAATCTCCTCCACGCAGAATATCATTAATCCTAAGCCAAGTTTTGTCGCATCAACAACGCTAATTCCTTTTTAATCAATTAAGTAACATTAATCTATAATTTTATCGTTAATATTTAATTTTATCATTAAGCTAATAATTTTAACTCACTTATCTTATTTTTTGCAATAAAATTTCCATTGTTTTATGTGCAGCGCAATTCGAAAGTTTATATAATTTATTTTGAAAACGTTTATGAAAATATTTCTCGATCGTCTGATCCAATCATGAGATGCTAATGACTTCCTTTAATTAGAAAAAAATGTATCATTTGCTGAACATACTAATGCGTACGACATGCATGTATGAAATAAAAAATTGGCATTTTTCATTCAAAATTAACGCTTACTCAAGGAGAAGAAGGATTTGGCTGAAAGGACATGCAACCATAATCATGTTGCTCTTTACCTTTCATCATCCTTCATAAAACATTGGTTTAATCGGGATGTAAGACGATTGTGGCAAATAAATTAAAGGCATTGGTGAATAAAAAATAAAATTTGATAATAGTCATCTTTGTAATGTGTAAAAGAAATAACAGAATTGCATTAAGAAAATAGTATGACAATTATGATTGATTGATATTTATTGCCTATATCATTTTTAACGTAATGTTAAGTAATGTGAAACGCTTGACGGTAATCAAGACCAACATAATAATTGTGAGCACCGCATCAGCACTTCCTAATATATTATTCCACAATTAAAAGATTTTTTATAATAAATAATGTAAAGAATAAGTTCTTGAATTCTTCTCAGTTGGTTTTATTTACCGATCTTTAAGAAATTTATATGATTAACACATTACGATGAAATTAACATATGTATATCTCTTGACTTAATTTTATCAATTTACTTGTTAATATACGTTTAATCCAACTTTTAATACTTGTCTTCAGAATTATGATAATTATTATATATTTAAATGTTTTCCTTTTTTTCAGGTATGATTATGTTTACTTATCACGAACCTATGTTTTCGCTAGCATGTGTTAGCGGAAATTTCTCCACATTGTACATTACTGTATCATACGCATTATTATATGCAGTACATCATCACACGATCGTTACTCCGTCATTGTGCGTTTTAATTTATTTGCTTGTTGGAACGTGTTTTATTACGCAATTACGTTCTCTTCATACTGTTATCGTTTATGCTTTAAACTGCATATGAAAAAATCCGATACGAGAGATATGCAGTTCTTGCAGATAAATTAAAGCTACCATTTAATACTGTATTTTACCTGTACGTTAAAAGTGTGCCTGTGTTTGCATGCGTGAGATATGTCGTAAGCTTAATTACATTTCTTTAATCTTTAATTAATACGATGCTTATATCGTTATTGGTAAGATAACGATATTCTTATGATTTACTTCAGTTTTTTTTTCTAGCACATTAAATGTAGTGAAATAAATAAACTGCACTAATAGATAGAAATGAATTGTTTTTTTCCAACTTCATTTTAGCAAGCGGTGGAGGAGAAGTACAAGCTCTGCGATGAGACACTATCTAAGCTTCTGCAGTGGGTCTCCGAAGTTGAGGATAGACTGGCGAATCAAGATACCGTCAAGGAAGACGTAGAGGAATTGAGAAAACAAATAATTATCATGAAAGTAAGCAGTAGAACTCATATAATTATAATTTTTCTTAATTGAGCAAATTGATCTAAATATGTTTATTTTATAGAATTAAATAATCACATACGAAATGTGTTACTTGCAGGAAATAAAGGAGGATCTTGAATCGCACAGTCGACCTGTATCATCCTGCCTAGATCAGATTCGACAAGTCGTCTTGACTGGCAGCAACGTGTTATCTAGCGACGAAGTGTCCACATTAGAGAAGAATGGTCGATCTTTAAAAACTCGATTCGACAAAGCATTAGATCGTACTGACAAATTAGTGAAACGTCTTATTGGTGCGAGAGATGAACTAACAAAGTTCAAGTCAGTATCTTTCATGTAATTACAGTATAATTTAGTGTCTTCCGAATTTAATTGATTTGTTTCATACAGGAATGAGTTGATGACGTTCTCAATTTGGTTGGACAAAGCCAGAAGCGTGCTCGAGGATAAGGAGCGTTCCTTGTCCGATCTGAACAAACTCAGTACCAGCACAGATACAACTCGCGATTTCATCAGTGATGTTATTGCTCATCAAGCAGATTTGAGATTTATTACAATGGCCGCACAGAAGTTCGTTGATGAGAGTAAAGAATATCTCCAAGTTCTTAACGACTTCAGGACCAGCTTGCCACAAAGATTGCCACATAAAGAGCCCACAGCTAGCCAAGATTCACCGGTACGAGCCGAAGTATCCAATGCAACTGCTCGATACAAAGATCTACTATCCCGAGCAAATCTCCTGTCAGACAGATTGTCGGGAGTTGGCGGCAAACAGAGAGATTACCACGATTCTTTGGACAAAGCTAGAACGTGGTTGAGAGACGTTGAGCCGAAAGTTATCAGAGTTATTTCCGAATCTGTTGCCGCGGAACCGAAACAAGTAGAGGATCAATTGAGCAAAGCTAAGGCATTGAACAACGAATTCCTTGCTAATGAACGTCTAATCGACAATGCTAAACACAGCGTTGAGGCGCTGTTACATTCTTTGGAAGGCCAATTAACGATCAACGAGGCTAGAGGGCTTGAGGAACCAGTGAAGGCAGTAGAAGATAAGTACAAACAACTCAGTAATGCTCTGGCTGATAAATGTCAAGAACTTGACACAGCGTTGGTGAGAAGTCAAGGAGTGCAAGATGCATTGGACAGTCTGGTTGCATGGCTGAACAATGTTGAAAGTCAATTTAAGTAAGTATAGGAGATATACAATTACATTTCTGAATTATTTTGTGTTATTTTAAACTTATCTTTATCTTAACTATACTTTAACAAACCGTGTATTCTATAGGTCGCTTCAACGTCCGGCAAGTTTGCAGAAGGAACGTTTGGAGGAACAACAAAGAGAACAGCGATTACTTCAAGCAGACCTAGATAGCCATCGTTTGAGCGTAGAAACTATTACAGCGAATGCTCAGGATCTGCTCTTGAATTCGAGCAATGTTCGCATTGCCAAACGCATCGAAAGCAAGCTGAAGGATGTGCAAAGTAGATTTGAGAAATTGATGGACAAATCCTTGAGGCGCGGTGAATTCCTGGATGAAATCGCGCAGGCCCTGAACGAGTTCCTCGGAGACGTGGCCAAATTCGAGAGTTGGTATGCGCATATGATGGAAGTTCTCGATTCGAGAGATCTAAACAAGCTTGACATGTCAGAATATGAGGCTAAGATGGCTCAACTGATTGACATGCGCGAGGATCAGCGTGGAAACTTCGAAGATCTCGTACGTAATGGAAAGAATCTGATTTCTAAGAAGGATATAACCGAAGCAGGCGCGATTAGAGATAAGATCAAAGCACTCGAGTCTCAGTGGAAGGAACTGAACAATCTGCTCGACGAGAAACAACGATTGTGCAAATCTAGGGCGGAACAACACACAGCCTATGAGAAGTTGCGGGATCAAATACTCGATTGGCTTACTCGTACAGAAAACAAGGTGCAAGGACTCGAGCCGGTCGCCGTAGATTTGGACAAATTGAAAATACAGCAAGAGGATTTGAAGCCCATACAAAAAGAATATCGCGATTACGGTAATACGGTCGATAAAATCAATGATCTCGGTATTGCTTATGACAGTTTGATGAAGGAACGCGGCGAAAGTCCAACGCGTCGACGTGGCAGTACTAGTCCAACGAAGAGACCAGGTATTACATTTGTTATTATTACATGTACGATTTTGCATAGATACTTTTCGATAGCATGATTTTATGATGCAAACTTTGCATGTTGGATTTTTGCAAATCAATTATCAATTATGTAACTTATCAGTTACAACAACTAGCTCATATATCTTTCACATTGCATCTTTTTCAGCACATGATCATTGCTATTTTCGTTACGTTTGATCGTTTTTTTCTGTCATTTTTTTTGTAGTACTGCGAATGTCACAAGACGGTCGCTCGCCGTCACCCACTAAATCCTACGCGGTTCAAAGTCCGGTCTCCCCAGGTGGTAGCAGTGGATTCAGCAGCCGCCGTTCGAGTCAAGATGGTTTCCATCTCGAGGAATTATCGCCTGTTCAACAGCAACTTTCGGAAATTAATCACAGATACGGATTACTCGGTGTCAGATTGTCGGATCGCCAAACGGAGTTAGATAATATTAGGGAGGAATTGAAGAAACATTTGGACCATTTGAAAACACTCTCACAATTCTTGGATAAGGTAATTTTATTTTTTAGACTAACGTTACATTTTTAATTGTAATATATAATTGATTATAATTATAGCAGAGCATAATACACAATTTTTGTTACCAGATTCAGCGGCAATTGCCTAAAGAAAGCATGCCCGCAACTAAAGATGATGCGGACAAAACGGTCAAGCAAGTTAAGGTTCTCATTGAGGAGATGTACGAGAAACAATCTCTGCTGGATAGTACTCGAACGCAAGTGCGTGATTTAGTCAGACGTAAGAAAGGAGCTGACGGAGTGGATAGATTGAACGACGAAATGGAAGACGTTGCTAGTCGGTGGAGATCAATTTCGGACAGATGCAAGGACCGAATTAAATTCCTAGAAGATATTAAAGATTTTTATGACACATATGATGGTCTTAACTCTTGGCTTGGCGCTAAAGAGCGTATGCTGGGCGCTTTAGGACCAATTTCGGCTGATCCTCGTATGGTCGCAAGTCAAGTGCAACAAGTACAGGTTTTGCGAGAAGAGTTTAGAACTCAGCAACCGCAATTGGATCATCTCGTACAAATCGGAGAAAGTATCCTGGTCACGATATCCATAGATTCAATAGATGGTCAGAAGATAAATGCGAAATTGCAGAGTATTTTACAAAGGTGGGCAGATCAAATGGGAAGATTAGACGAAAGGGCTCAGAGTTTAGGTGACGCTGTTGATACTAGTCGTGAATTCGATGCCAGCCTTAATCGGCTGCGAGACGCTCTACAAGGAATCTCAGATAATTTAGACGAGTTGACTCTTGAGAAGGATCCCGAAGAGCAGCTTCGTAAGATCGAGAATCTGGAAAGACAATTGGAAGGTCAGAGGCCATTGTTAGCGGACGTGGAAATGGCCGGTGCACAGCTGTGCGAGGTTCTAAGTGATCCAGCGTCGAGATCCGAGATTCAAGGAAAGCTTGCTACAGTCGGCAAGATGTACAGTAATTTGCAAAAGAAACTGGATTATAGAAAAGCAGAAATCGAAGGTAATCTGCGAGATGGAAGACAATTCGAGGCCTCCTGTAGCAGAACTTTGGGATGGCTCGCGGACGAACTTGGAAACATGTCTGAAAAACTGCTAGTGTCTGCTGATAGAGAAATATTGCAACAGCAACTCGATCATCACGAGGTATGTACCACTATAATTTAAAAAATTTTGTTTTTTTTTTTAATTATATATTTCATGTCTTCTTAGTTTTATTTTATTAATAAAAACAAAACATAATTTTTAGCCTGTTTATCGTAATGTGATGGGTAAAGAGCACGAAGTCATAATGCTGTTGAACAAAGGACGCGACATACTTTCGCGGTCTCAGAAAACTGAAAACCGTTCGCTTCAACGTGATTTGGATAAGATGCAGTCACAGTGGGACCGTTTGAAGAAGGATACTGTCGAAAGGCACACTCGATTGCAGACCTGCGCAGAACATTGCAAAAAATACTATAAAGCTCAAGATATATTTCTTCCATGGCTTCGACAAGCCGAGGATAAATTGGATAGTTTGATCCCCACTTCCTTTAGACGCAAGGATATCGAGAAACAACTGAAAGAATTATCATCATTTAGGAACGAAGTATGGAAACATTCCGGAGAATTTGAAAATAACAAGATGCTAGGCGAGACATTTGTTGGAGCTTGTGATATTGATAAACAAAATGTAAAGAACGAACTTAGTGCTATGAGAACTAGATGGGATAAATTAAACAATGGTATGTTTAAATTCGCTATTGTAATTATATCCTAATTTATTACAGTTCAGACTTGCGTGTTGTGTTATTGTATAATATTATAATTTAATTATATACTTCTTGTAGACTTGCTGTCTAGAACACAATCTTTAGAAGATACCGCACGTCACCTAATGGACTTCAATGAAAACTTACGCGATTTGCAACATGGCTTACAACGTTGTGAAGATAAGTTGGCTTCACACGATGCTCTTGGCGGAGCGGCTAAAGATCCAAAACTTCTTGATAGAATAAAGGTAATTAAATTTATTGTTTTCATACACAAAATAAAAACTATGATTAATACAAAATATATACTAATTATATAATTTTTAGAATTTGCGAGAGGAAACAACGAGCTTGAAGAAACCTTTGCAGTGTGTAAGACAACAGGCTAACGATCTTGTGAACAAAGCCGGCGAGCAAGGCGTCGATGCGACACATCTACAAGATGAGATTGATAATGTTACCGATCGCATTAACGACCTGCAAGCGAAACTAGATGACAGATGCAACGAACTGCAAAGTGCAGCGACAGCAGTCGCGCAATTTAATGATCAAGCGAAACTGATCAATCAACATTTGTCTGCTCTTGAAAAAGATCTAGATTCCATGAAAGCACCCGGTAGAGAAATCAAGATTGTAAGAGCACAATTGGAGGATATTGCCAAGATTGTTAGCAGAATTAACAAACTCTATGAAGAAATTGGCGATCTGGAGAATCGTGGCGAACGTTTGGTTGATTATGGTTTCGCTGCTGATGCTGTAGCCACAAGAGATCAGGTTGACGGATTTAAACGGCAAATTGGCAAACTGGATGAGCGGGCGCGTACCAGAGAAGATGAACTCATTTCTACTTTGAACAAATTACAAGAGTTCTATCAATTGCACGCAAACGTTATGGAGGGTATCAATGATGCAAACGAACAAGTCAGAAGATTTAAACCTGTGGGATCCGAAGTGGACTCTATTAAAGCTCAACAAGAAGACTTCAGAACTCTCAAAGTTAAAAAGATCGAACCACTGGCACACGCCGTTGAAGATTGTAACGCGCTCGGTCAAGGCCTCATACAAACTGCAGGACGAGATGTAAATACCATTAATATCGAAAAAGACGTCGATAAAATGAATGAAAGGTGGAACGACTTAAAAGATAGAGTAAGCATTCGATCTATATCTAAATGTTAAGGAATGTATATATTTATTCGATATATTTATGCGAGAATTAACAACATATTATTTTATTGTTTAATTAATAATTATTTATTTTTAGCTAAACGAGCGCGATCGCAAGTTGGATGTTGGATTATTGCAGTCGGGCAAGTTCCAAGAGGCTTTAGATGGTTTAGCGAAATGGTTGACCGATACGGAAGAAATGGTTTCGAATCAAAAACCACCTTCTTCAGATTACAAAGTCGTGAAGGCGCAATTGCAAGAACAGAAATTCTTGAAGAAGATGTTGATGGACCGACAAAATTCTATGACGTCTCTCTACAATATGGGACGAGAAGTAGCCGCCGATGCGGACCCGAAGGAACGTAAGGCCATTGAGAAACAATTGAATGATCTAGTGGGCAGATTTGATAATCTGACGGAAAGCGCCGCAGAGAGAATGGATGCTCTTGAGCAAGCAATGGTGGTAGCGAAACGATTCCAAGATAAGTTAGTACCACTTACTATCTGGTTGGATAAGACGGAGAAGAAAGTCAGGGACATGGAATTAGTTCCTACCGACGAAGAGAAAATACAACAGCGTGTCAATGAACATGATATACTTCATGAGGATATTATATCGAAGACACCAGATTTCAGCGAACTCACAGAGATAGCTAGCCAACTTATGTCGCTAGTAGGCGAAGACGAAGCTACTACGTTGGCTGATAAGCTTCAGGATGCGGCAGATAGATACGCAGCTTTGGTTGAACGATCCGAAGCTCTTGGTAGCTTGTTACAACGTTCGAGACAAGGCTTACGTCATTTGGTTCTCACGTATCAAGACTTACAAGCATGGATGGAGAACATGGAGATCCGATTGTCGAAGTATCGCATCTTGGCTGTACATACGGAAAAGCTTTTACAACAAATGGAAGATCTCGCAGATCTTACAGAAGAAGTATCTACGCGACAAACGGAAGTCGACAGTACCGTAGATTCCGGCCTAGAACTGATGAAACACATCTCGAGCGACGAAGCACTTCAACTAAAGGACAAATTGGACTCTTTGCAACGACGGTTTAACGATCTTGTCACGCGTGGCTCAGATCTTTTGAAACATGCCCAAGAGTCCTTACCATTGGTGCAACAATTCCATGATAATCATAATCGTCTGATGGATTGGATGCAAGGCGCGGAGGCTGCTTTACAGTCCGCTGAACCTCGTGAGGAAGAGATCATCCGACTTGAGATGGAGATATCGGAATACAGACCCGTCTTGGACAAGATCAACGCTGTGGGCCCGCAGTTATGTCAAATGTCGCCGGGAGAAGGTGCTGCGACAATCGAAGGTCTCGTGACCAGGGACAACAGGCGATTCGATGCAATTGCCGAACAGATTCAACGAAAGGCAGAAAGAATTCAATTGAGCAAACAGCGATCTTTGGAGGTGATTGGCGATATCGACGATTTACTCGATTGGTTCAGAGAAGTGGACAATCAACTTCGAGAGGCTGACCCGCCCAGCAGCGAGCCTGAAATTATTAGAGTACAATTGAAAGAACATAAAGCGCTTAACGATGATATATCCAGTCAAAAAAGTAGAGTCCGTGACGTTATTTCGACTGCAAAGAAAGTAATACGCGAGAATGCTCAGCACGAAGACACATCTACTATCAGAGATAAGATGGAGGATTTGCGTGAAACAATGGAAATTGTATCGGCTTTGTCAACAGACAGATTGGGAGCTCTCGAGCAAGCTTTACCGTTAGCGGAACATCTTCGCGATACTCATGCTGGCCTAGTCAGCTGGCTCGAGGAGGCTGAACAACAAGTCGCTATGTTACCTATGCCCGCTTTGCGGCCCGACTTGATAGCAGCGCAACAGGACAAAAATGAGCTTCTTATACAGAGCATTAACGAGCATAAACCTCTAGTGGAGAAGCTCAATAAGACCGGTGAAGCGCTCATCAAGTTATGCAACGAAGAAGAAGGTATAAAAGTGCAAGACATCTTGGACAATGATAACGCTCGCTATGCTGCATTGAGAGCCGAGCTAAGAGGCCGACAACAGGCGTTGGAGCAGGCACTGCAGGAATCCTCTCAGTTCTCTGACAAACTGGAGGGTATGCTGCGCGCATTGTCTTCTACCGCCGATCAGGTGAACGGCGCTGAACCCATCAGTGCTCATCCGCCTCGTTTACGTGACCAGATGGAAGAAAATGCCGCCTTAGCAGACGATCTTGCCCAGAGATCCGAAGCTTACGCGGCTGTTAAAAAAGCAGCGGACGATGTGATCAGTAAGGCCGGCAATAGGGCCGATCCGGCAGTTAAAGACATCAAACGCAAGTTGGATAAACTTAACAGATTATGGACCGACGTACAAAAAGCCACGACCGATCGTGGTCATACTTTAGATGACACTCTGGCCGTCGCCGAAAAATTCTGGGCCGAGCTGAACGGAGTTATGGCTACTCTGAGAGAACTGCAAGATGCGCTAGCTGGACAGGCACCACCGGCGGCTCAACCAGCTGCTATCCAACAACAGCAAGTGGCGTTGCAAGAAATTCGACAAGAGATCGATCAGACCAAGCCAGATGTCGAGCAAGTCCGAACATCGGGACACGAATTGATGGGTTTGTGCGGCGAGCCAGACAAACCTGAAGTACGAAAGCACATCGAAGATTTGGATCAGGCTTGGGACAACGTCACCGCTCTGTACGCCAGACGCGAGGAGAATTTGATCGACGCCATGGAGAAAGCAATGGAGTTCCACGAGACATTGCAGAACCTGTTGGAATTCTTGCAAGAGGCCGAAGATAGATTTGCAGAGATGGGCCCGCTTGGCAGCGACATTGATGAGGTGAAAAAGCAGATCAAGCAGCTGGCCAATTTCAAGGCCGAGGTGGATCCGCATATGGTGAAAGTCGAGGCGTTGAACAGGTGACGATTTAATTTTTAAGTTATAGCTGAATTTACATGTAAATGGCGTTACAAAGAGTTCAGTGCGCAGCATTGTCCCCTTTGTGCAACTCCCGCCCGATAATTATTTGCAATGAGTGACTTTCGAGAAAATGTAAAATCTAATCCCGTCTCTTTTGTTTTTCTGCGCCGGTTCCCGAACATAGGAGTCTGACAAGGCAAGTCAATCTCTCTCTGTGTTGTCGCTGGTAGTTAGAGCATGGCTTCGTATTGTTCTGAACGTGTTTATTCCCCCTTGTTTAGTTTAATAATCTTGCTGCCCCTTAACAATTTGCGTCATCACATTTAATCGGATCCTCCCCCTTTATATTATACCTCAAGGCAGATTACTCAGCCGCATGTAGCAGGTAAAGCGAGTGATCAATTACGAGAATTCGTAGACGATAATATAATTTATATTTTTGATAGAAATAATATGGAAACGGCAGTGATTAATATCCAGTTGATATTAATTCCTCCGGTAGTTAAACTCATTGAGATTTTTATACCCGTCCTCCCTGTAGATGTGGTTCATTGTTGTATGGTTCAAGTATATATTGCAACATACACGTTTCTATATAACATCAAGAGAAATGATGATGCATTTTCTAACATTATTATCGTCTTTTCATATCTAGGCAAGCAGCTGAATTAACGGAAAGAACATCCTCCGAACAAGCAGCAGCCATCAAGGAACCGCTCGGTGCCGTGAATAAACGGTGGGACGGATTACTGAGAGGCTTGGTGGAGAGGCAGCGATTACTGGAGAATGCGTTATTACGACTCGGTCAATTCCAGCACGCTTTGGATGAATTATTAGTATGGATTGAAAAAACTGACAAGACATTGGATAATCTCAGACCAGTAGCAGGTGATCCACAAGTGATCGAAGTCGAGTTGGCCAAGCTGAAGGTCCTAGTAAACGATATACAAGCTCATCAGACGAGCGTCGATACTCTAAACGATGCTGGACGACAATTGATTGAGGATGGTAAAGGTACCGCAGAAGCGTCTACTACAGCCGATAAACTAGGCACTTTGAATCGTCGTTGGCGAGATCTACTGCAACGCGCCGCTGATCGCCAGCGAGAACTAGAAGATGCCTTACGAGAGGCACAATCCTTCACCGCTGAGATACAGGACTTGCTATCGTGGTTAGGCGACGTGGATAACATGATAGTAGCATCCAAGCCAGTAGGTGGATTACCTGAGACTGCATCCGAACAGTTGGAACGCTTTATGGAGGTGTTTAACGAGTTAGAACAAAACCGTCCGAAAGTCGAAACGGTGCTGCAACAAGGACAGGAATATTTGAAGAAAGCGGATACGAGTAGTGCCGGTGGATTGAATCACAATTTGCGAACGTTGAAGCAAAAATGGGACAATGTGCTTTCACGAGCCAGCGATAAGAAGATAAAGTTAGAAATTGCTCTGAAGGAGGCCACTGAATTCCATGACGCGTTACAAGCTTTCGTCGATTGGTTGACAAACGCTGAAAAGATTCTGACGAATCTTAGACCGGTCTCGAGAGTCATGGAAACTATACTTCAACAAATCGAGGAACACAAAGCCTTCCAAAAAGACGTCGGTGTCCACCGCGAAACTATGCTAAATCTCGACAAAAAAGGAACCCATCTCAAATATTTCTCTCAAAAACAAGACGTGATTCTTATAAGAAATTTGCTCGTGAGTGTACAACACAGATGGGAACGAGTAGTTTCCAAGTCAGCCGAGAGAACGAGGGCTTTAGATCACGGTTACAAGGAAGCTAGAGAGTTCCACGACAGCTGGTCGAACCTGATGAACTGGTTGGATGACACCGAGAAGACTTTGGACGAAGTCGCTGCCGACGGACTTGGCGGCAATGATCCAGACAAGATTAAATCACGCCTTAACAGACACCGCGAGGTACAAAAGGCACTGAGTGCTAAGCAGAGCACGTACGACAATACCATGAAAAACGGCAAAACATTGAAGGACAAGGCGCCGAAATCCGATGAACCTGCTTTGAGGGAACTTCTAAATGAGTTGAAGAACAAGTGGACTACGGTCTGTGGTAAATGCGTGGATCGACAGCGAAAACTGGAGGAAGCCTTACTATTCTCCGGACAATTCAAGGATGCGATTCAGGCGCTGTTGGAATGGCTGAGCAAAACCGAAAAATATTTGGCCAATCCTGGACCACTTTACGGTGACCTGGATACGGTAACCAATTTAGTGGAGCAACATAAGAACTTTGAAAGAGATCTGGAGTTACGCGCCTCGCAGATGGAATCCGTCATTAAAACCGGTCGTGAACTGGAATCTAAAGCTTCCATTGAGGATGCATCAATGATCAGATCACAGTTATCTGAATTAAACAGTCTCTGGGATAGAGTAACCAATCTGTCGACGAAGAAATCCAGACTATTAGAAGAAGCCCTTAGAGAGGCCGAACGGCTTCATAAAGCCGTTCACGTGTTGCTGGAATGGTTGAGTGACGCGGAGATGAAGCTACGATTCGCCGGACCGCTGCCGGAAGACGAGCAGGAGAGCAGGAACCAATTAATGGAGCACCAGAGATTCCTCCGCGAGTTACAGACTAAGGAAATTGAAAAAGATAATACGTTAGAGTTGGCACATATTATTCTTGGAAAAGCGCATCCTGACGGTGCCGCAGTTATCAAACACTGGATCACAATTATTCAGTCTAGATGGGAAGAAGTGGCAACATGGGCCTACCAAAGGAACCAAAGACTGGAGAATCATATGCAGGGACTGCAGGTTTGCACTACACTAAATATCTTATATAAGTCACATTTTATCTCCTAGAAGAAATGAATATTGTTACGTGTGAATTTTCAGGATCTTGATAATCTTCTCGAAGAGTTATTAGCCTGGCTCGAAGGTTTGGAGAATACTTTGAATGCCTTAGAAGCGGAACCTTTGCCCGATGATAGGGTTACGCTCGAAATGCTTATCGCGGATCACAGAGAATTCATGGAGAACACCAGCCGAAGACAAAACGAGGTTGATCGCGTGTGCAAGGCCCGACAAATTAAGCCGATAAAGGACGCGAGGAAAATATCGAAAGTCAGATCACCAGCGCCTACGTACGTATTTATCAACGCAAGGATTTATACAATATATTGATACAATTAAAATCCTTTCTGTTTTTTGTGAAGAAATACCTACGTAATTAATAATATGTACAGCATTGTGCATTATTATGCTTACTTCTTGTTCGAATCGTTAAGTGTTGTTTGCATTCTGTTCATATATGTATTGCATCTGTATCTGTGTTAATTATTTTAACTTGTTTTTCACAAATCTTGCTATGTGCACATTGCAATTTTAGGAAAATTTTCAGACCACCAGTTTTGAAAGAATCTTTTACTTTGCTAGATGCTCGCAGTTTTTGTCATCTTTTATATGTTAAATTTCGTATATTGTGTGTATTTAACTGTCGCATGATATGTTGCTTTTGCAATGGAATTTCAGTAAGGATCTCTATCAGGATAATGAGCATGAGCAGTCTCAGCCTCGTAAACAAAGGTGCGTTGTCTATCATAACATATGTAAATATTTTCCACTTATCCTAATCGCATAATCACTTCGTAAGTACAATGTTTTGTGTTTATGCTATTATGCATTTTCAGTAGAAATGTATGCGTTTATTTTTGTATGATTTTATATTGAATACACAACATCCTCATCACACGATAATTCTTGTTCGCACAATAATTTCACAGTATCCAGCAACAGGAGCAGAAGTTTAGAATTTAGTTAAGTGTATTAACTCACTTGCTTTTCACTCGTGTGTGACTACGACATGCATAAACTTATTACTATTCACAATGCACTGTGTTAAAAAAATCAGACATATTAGCCAATGTACTCAGCCGTTCTCAACAGAAAATCCAGCTTTGCTGGTTGTAAAATTTTTTAATATGATTGATTTTGGTCTTAGTTTTTTACTGGATTTAAAAATATAAATCAATTATATTAAAGAATATTACAACAGTACAAAAGTGCTTCTTCTGCTAAACGCAGCTAATATGTTCTTTTACATTTTGTGTTATACATTACGTTATTATGATGCAAACATATAGCTTTAAGACACGATTAACAGTCTCTTTTTCAACACGATGTGAAACTGACTTTTTTTAGATATTTATGTCAAATATAATTATACGTAAGAATAGACGTAAGAATCAACACTTGATAAAAACTCGTGTTAATTTTGTACACTTTTATAATTTAATACTCACAAACGAAAAACAATCTATAAACTAGAGTGCTGTATTGAGACGCGAAGAAGAGCGTTTTATAGATGCCTTATTTAGTAGAGAATGTTTGAGTGATGTGACGCATGTTCCTGTTTAGCCGAAGCAGCCCAGGTCGTGACAGAACGCCAGATCTTTCATTGCCACACATCGGTCCACGCTTTCCACCCAAAGGAAGGTTCGTTACACCTAGTTTTATTTCAGTTCATTCTGCGCCATTCCATCATTTTCATCCGAATCATACAGGCATTGTTACACTTATCGTACAACTCAACTTATTATATGACTCCCTAATGGAATTATTGTTTTTTTTTTAATTTTTTTGCGGGATGACATGTGGTTGGGTTTTGATAAACTGTTACTGTTCGTTTAGAAAATTGTTTGTTTTGTACTGAAAGTGTGAAGTCTTAGATTTTCTGCGACATTTACATTTGAATTTGTTATTGAGTTGTTTATGCGAAGATCATTCCTCATTGTTATATCTCTTTCTGTAAAATTATCTTTGTGATTAATTACCTTAATTAAGATGACATTTCACATTTTTAATTCTTATATATTATATATGCATATATAATATTTTTCGTGTATAAATACATATATATATATTTTTCCTATAAACAGCAAAGGAGCCGAGCCGGAATTCCGCAGTCCGAGGGTTAAGCTTCTCTGGGATAAATGGCGTCACGTTTGGATGCTAGCGTGGGAACGACAACGCCGTTTGCAGGATAAATATAATTATATTCAAGAATTGGATCGCGTTGCTAATTTCAGCTGGGAAGATTGGCGCAAACGGGTAAGACAGAGTTTTTAAAAAAAGGCGCCAAGTGTGTTTGTTCTTTTAAGAAAAAATAGTTGTACATCACACATAACAAACCCAAGTGGTAATATCTTTAATTTTGTTTTTATTAAATTTGAATAGAGTATTATATTATTTTGTTTAGGATTAAAATTATCACTACTTTGTTTGGAATAGGAAGATCCCTAAATACAAACATGTATATATATATATAATATATATACATAATATAATATATATACACTATTTAAATTTAATTTTTAAAAAATTGATATTACTTCTCTTGGGTTTGTATGATATAACGATTTTTAATATGTTCTCTTTTCCTCTTTTACTTTTGACAGAAATAAAAATTAATAATTTTTTTATCAATTATCATGAACCATTGAAATATATAATATTTATTTTCTAATTGCAGTTCCTGAAATTCATGAATCATAAGAAGTCCAGATTAACGGATTTATTCAGGAAAATGGATAAGAATAATGATGGACTCATACCGAGGGAAGACTTCATTCAAGGAATTATGAACACCAGTATTTATCATACCACATTTATTTTTTTTTATATGAGGACATTTATTTTTCTAATGCCCTAATTGTTTCGAATTCATAGAATTCGAGACTTCCCGTCTGGAAATGGGTGCTGTTGCCGATCTCTTCGATCGTCACGGCGAAGGCTTGATAGATTGGAAGGAGTTTATCGCCGCTCTGCGACCCGACTGGGAAGAACGACGTACCTACAATGACACGGACAAGATACATGATGAAGTTAAACGGTTAGTTATGCTGTGTACCTGTCGCCAGAAGTTCCGCGTTTTCCAAGTTGGCGAAGGAAAGTACAGGGTATGTATATGATTATATAACGATTTAATGAAGCGGACATTTAATGAAGCATTTATCTAATTGTAATCAAATATCTGTGTTAATATCAATCATTACATATGATTTAATTATAACGACTGCGAAATTACAGTTTGGTGATAGCCAGAAACTACGATTGGTTCGAATCCTGCGTTCCACTGTCATGGTACGCGTCGGTGGAGGCTGGGTAGCATTAGACGAGTTCCTTCTAAAGAACGATCCATGCCGCGGTAAGTATTCATCACAAGCCTTTAATCTGCGCGATATATGTAAGCGATCCGAGATTAGGTTGAGATAAATCGTAATCTATACTCTTTCACGATTTTTTTTTATTATATCAATAATAAGGAAAAAGAAAATAATTAATCAAAATGACTTGTGACTGGGTGAACTGTTGGGTTTAATGCGAAACATGTTTGCAAGGCAAATTACTCCTTAATTGCAAGCAAATAACGTTAAAAAAAATTTCTACTGTCTCCTTTTCTTTATCCTTCTTTCCCAAGAGGCAATTAAACTTGCGTTCCCGTTTAATTTCGATATTTCTAATAATCGAAAATGATACTTTTAAGTATTTGTTATTATAACAATATGTTAACGTTTTGTTTTTGTTTCCATCGCTCTTCACATTAATCAATATTACTTTGCTTTGCTGCATTAAATGTAGAAATGTAGTACCATTTAAGAGAAATTCATTGTCATTAACGAAAGCCTGAACGTCGATTTGATATGACTATTTGTATACTCTATATCCTAATAAGACTAACTAAAGATATTAAGATTATATAATATGTATATTATATGTACGATTTCCACTCCTGAGGGGTCATAACATTGCCATTATGATCAGATTATTAAATGCAACTCACTGTTAATTTAATATTTAAAGAACAATTGAGAGTAGTGTACACACTCGCTGTTTATTGCTTTTGCTTATCTAGAAACTGTTTTTCCGGTATATGTATATTGGTTTATTTCATTGATATTCGACAAGAAAAAGAATCAATTCAATATTTGTTATTGTTTTTACGTTAAATTTTACATTTATTATATTTACGCTACAACATGCATGACAATTTAATTTAATCACTTCAATATTGAATTGCGTGAAAAATGTCTATTGTCAGTTTTCTCTCTACCTTTCTTTTAATTTCTCTCTCTGCCTTTTCCGCCAATGGTAAATTCATCAATTTTGGAATATCAGTCTTGAGATAATCATTAGTTCTACGTTCAGAGAACTTTTCTGGTATAGTACGATTTTATGAGTAGTAGGTAGAAGGTAATATTACAGTAGGCATATCTAACATCTTGTTAACTATGTACTAACGTTAACATAACAACTGTTCCTTACTGTCCATCGATCCTTCTCACATCCTGTACGTCTAACTCTATGACAAACATTTCTGTTTGTTTCATTTTCATGTATTTTTTACGTTTATGTTTTACGTTTATTTACCGAATGTATTTCCGTCGACTAAAAAATTATAAACTTCTAAATCATGGCGCATGCATGAATATATCGACACATCTTGTTCTTTCTAATCGATTTTGTCTTTCGAATCGTGATTAACTCGTTAAGTTTTTCTAATGCCAATACCGGATCCTAACAAACCGGAACAACATGAGGGTTGGTGTCCGCTCGGTGAGAACTGTTTTACGTGCACAACAATTCATTCATGGTCTATACATTAAAATTCGCTCGTTCAATTATTGAAATGTCTTATTCGAATTCTCAATTAACCCATTCGCTGGCACGTTCATTTCCACAATTTGTGTCCCGGTGGGTAGAAAAAAATTTTGAATTTTTTTCGCACTTGGGGTGTATTTATTTTTTATTTTATATAAGGATTTTTTAGGGCGCTGATTCCGATTTTGAAATCAAAATTGAGAAATTCAAAATGACGGATCCAATATGGTGGACCTCAATATAAAAAAATTCACATTCTTGTTAAAACGTTTTAAAATTTGACTTATGGGGGTTTTCGAGGGTGCTGGGACACACCGCGCGCGCACGCACGCACCCCCCCCACACACACACACCATTTTCTAATGAATTCATTTCATTTTACAGCTTACCAGTGAGTATAAGTATAGAATATAACGTATAGAAAAAAATATATTATTTTTATTGAGAAGATATTTCCGTATTTTGAATTTTACAATTCTGACTTCAGAATCGAAATCAGCATCCTTGAAAACCCACATAAGCTAATTTTCAAAACGTTCTGATAAGAATTTAGATTTTTTTTTATTTCAGTCCGCCATTTTGAATTTTATATTTTTTTGATTTTAAAATCGGAATCAGCGACTCCAAAAACCCTTATATACCTAGTTTGAATCAAATTCGTTCATTCATTTCGAAGAAAAAGCGCTTTGACGCCATATGGCGTCAATGCCTACTGGAGCACGTCTTTTTCTGGACGCCATATGACGCCAATGCCAGCGAAGGGGTTAAATATTTATGACATGCTCGAGTCGGCCCGAGATGCTCGCCAATAATTAGTAATTGCTGCAGTATAGACCATGAAGGTGATATCCCTGCGTATGGTGCATGATCTTATTAGCTTGTTCGAACTAATTTTTCGAAGTGTTGCCTTTTTGTTGAGTATGTCTACATACGTGCGTATACGGTTGTATTATATGGAACGATTAAATATTGGCAATTACTGTCTGGATAAGGTAAATAGAGTGCGCAGATGAAATTAATGCTATAGTTACTGCGTAATATTAACTGTTTTCTTGATGCAGTTTCGAGTGCCAGTGTTTAAAAAAAAGAGTGCCTGTATTTATAGTGATGCAAAATTACGGACGTAATATACTGCAGTCGTTTCGCTTTCTTTCCACTGTTTTGTATTTATTCAGTTTTCTTTTTTTTTTTTAGTTTTGGTGAATGGTTCACGTTAGAGCCAATCTATCTTAATTGATAATTATTTTCTTTATAAATGTTCTACCCTTGCAGTAATATTCAATGTTACTATTTCATCAATTTATTTGCAATTAATTTCGATATATCCTTTGTAGCGCCCCTTTGTGTAGCATTTTAATATTCTTGCTAGAAGATAACCAATGCATGTTTAGTGAATTTTGGTTCGTTTTTACAATTATCCTATTGGGAGATGAGTTTTGTATATATGAATATATTGAGACTTCTTATTCTCTCCTCTCCCTTTCTTTTAGTTTAGCTTCTCATTAAAAATGTTACATTAAAGTTAAAAAGTACATTGGTTTCTTTTGGCATGGTTACGCGTGTAATTCCAAAAAAATTTTTTTTATATGCAGAGAATTCTAGGAATGTCGTATTTTTTTTCAATTAAAAATAAAAAGGACAAACAAGAAGAGAATAAAAAACTAGGGAGTATAAAGTTGTTGATAAATAACAATGTTTTGAATAATTTTTTAATAAATTAAAAAATTAAATTTTTTATTTATAAGTGGAAAGGCATTCTGGGATACTCTATATAACGTATTCATTAATTGCTTAGGCATATTGTAAAATGTACGATAATGAGCGACTTAAAGCATCATATTTTATATTTTTTTTATTGTAAAAGAGAAAATGTAAGAAATATATTCCGCCGCAAATCGTACAATTTACGCCAATATCCTAAGCACTGAAAGTATTATATAACAAAGTCCTAGTCAGTGGCAGAATATTTAGTGGCTCCTGTATATCGTAAACCTTATTTACATAATGACTATGATAACGTAAAACTTGGTTTGAGTGATTGTTTTAATAAGCTTGTACCTCTGTGAAATATTGAATTTTATAATGTCAAACTTTTTTTTGATCGTATATTCTAAATATGCTGTCTTTTCTTTTTTTTCCATGATACACAAATGCATACCTGGATACGCCACACTCGCATACATGTACTCGAAAACACGCACGCATACCGTGAAACATTTTTGTCGCCTTTTTTTCTCTTCTCTTTTTCTTAAAACTATTTCTCCTGTCCATTATTGTCGCTATTCATCAATAACGCGCATGCCTTGATATTGTAAATTTGTAAAATATATATATATATATATTGTTACACTTCCGCTCCATATAACTCATGACTCTCGTTCCGGATGTTGTCGTTCCGATATTTACACATTCGTTTTCGCTCTCATTTTTTTCTTTTTTTTCTTATTAAATTACGTCATACGTCGTTTTCGCGTTCGTTATTTCATCTCGACGTCATCCGTTCCCGCTCTCTGTCTCCGAACTGTTTTCTTGTACAAAATAACATCTCTCTGGCACCTCCTTTCGTACCCCGCATTCCCGAAACGCCTTTTCCCTAACTGCGTGCACGCAACACACTGTAGCCAAGGGAAGAACGAATATCGAGCTGCGGGAACAATTTATACTGGCGGATGGTGTTAGCCAGACTATGACAGCCTTCCGTTCCAAGCCGAGTCCGACCTCGACGCTGCAGCGTACGCAAATGTCCTCCACCAATGCTGGACCAATCACAAAGGTAAGCAGGGTCCATTGTGCAATCGTGGAATCTCTTAAACGCGACGTAGCACGTACGGTATTCATTTTCGCCGCGCCTTTTATTTCTCTGCCGTTAATTTGTAAATTAAACTCGTAGAATACTCGTGAACTTTTATATTAGATCCTGGGTGCCGTTGTGGTACCGCAATAGAAATTATTAAATTGCACGTACAGCTCTTACCTGGACAACTCCATCAGTGATTGATTTATGGTCTCACCGATGATATCCGTAAGTATACGTCAATCTAGCAGTTTGACGTTCGCATGAGCATGGCAGTTTCCAGTCAGTTGCATTGTTTGAATATGTAGAGGCATCTAGAAATCTATGACGCTTGTCTACTCTCATCACTGGTCGGTTTTGTAAAAAAAACAGTTTGAGTACACCAACTAAAAGTCAGACCCGACATCTCAAGCTCTTCGTTCGACCTCAGGAGATGCGATTTCGTAAATTTCTTGCCTATCTTTACCGAAAATCCTTTCCAACCTCATCACTTCATAACAGCAAGAGGAGCATTCTCCCAATTCCATATAATCACTCATCCCTATGAAATCCTATGAAGACAAATGTTACATCAGATATTAAATTGAGAAATTTTTTACATTGTGATCCGAGTCAATCGGTCAGTTCAAAAGAAAAGACATGTTGGAATCATATATCAATTTAGTGTGGAGATAGCTGTTCGTTTCAGGAATATTTTTCACTTGTTGGCGTGTGAGCCTTCCGAAAAAGGGGCCACTACAATTGCATGAGAAAGCTAAAGATTTTCGTTTGTGGTGTAGCGGAGGAGTTTATGAGCCAGCTGATGCCGATATTTGAGAATTTGAGGCAAAAGGAGGACCTCCCGTGCTCGTATCCCCTTCACATGCACGCCCCCTCTTATCATTGGGTAAATAACGAAATCTTTCTCAATTTTCTATTTCTTGGCGTTCGTGTGATGCTGTACACACTTGAGTTTTGGGTTTTGAGTGCGGTCGCGACACGCGATTTGAGTCGATCGACGATGCATTGTGTATTTCTGGACTGTCAGTAACGTTTGCTTTTTACCCTTTTATTTTTTTATATTTATATCCTATACTGCACAAACCTTTAAGGGATCCGTCCTAAAGACGAGGACATTCTATGTTCTAAGGATGCCTAGAAAGTCTTTCGGTTCCTTAAAGTTTGCTGTATGGGATATTATAGAGATTCTCCGATGATGCATATATGACGTAAATAATAATTATGAATAATCAATGAGCATAAGTGATTATTCATGATCTTTGTATCATAAATGCTTCCGACTGTAACGAAGTTGATAAATGCATGTCAGAAGAAATGTGTGTATGAAGAGAGCAAGTAATGTGAAGGAGAATAAACAGAGCAGAGACTCAAAAAGAAATTTCCTGTTCATTATCACGTATCTTATTATTGTGTCTCTGCCTCATGCCTGCCCATTTCTCTGTAAAGATTGTAAATCCATGTTGCGGTCTGACATTGTTCGAGATAGATTCATAGCATGTTACATCGCGAAACCATTCATTCAAGCACATTGCTCTGCATTGATTCTCTTTTTAGTTGATCGTCGAATGTGTCTGATTTTGTCAGAATTATTTGGACGCCTCTTAACTTCCTGACCCTTGACCCTAGAAAATGATTGACCATCCAATTTTGAGCATGATCAAATGTCTCTTTTGCTGATTATCATCTCATTTTTTAATGTAACGTAAATATCGAGCAACAAACTATCGGGGATTTTATCAAGAATGAATTTCTCATTTCTTGCATCTTTCAATCTCATATTCGAAAGAACATCGTCAATAACGGAAATAAAATTTCTTTGTGAGCGATTTGAAATCGACTTTTTGCAAATAAGTTCGCGGTAGTTGACATGCGTTTATTCGTACGGTAAAACGAAAAACGCATCGGGGATATGTAGTCAATTTAATTGAACATGGACATGCATAACGAATGTGTATCCTGTATTGCTGCGTGCGTAGTGGCATTGATCGGAGATACCTCGAATCACCATAAGCTACTATATCTCTCCCAACTTCTTGTGGTAAGTTTTGCATGACATTTCGCTTTACCTACTACCCGAATCTGGTAACTTTTATTTTACATTTTTGATTATTTAATCTTGATATTTCAACAGCTTCGACGAGCGTAATGGACCGCAAACCGGTATATCTTCACTAGTTATGGCTGTGCACAAGTTTGTGTTGCTTGTTAAACTTCTAGTGATAATAACACGATAGAGTTACTGGTCTAATTTAACTGATCTAAATTTCTAGAAACGAAGGCTTTTGTATTTTAGCTGCTACGTTTATCTATGTACTTTGAACGAATAATTAAAGTTAACAATTGAAGATTAGAATTCTATTCTTTTATATTTTCTCGTAGAATATCTTTTTTCACATTACAATATTAGAGAAAGCACATATTTTCTATTATCATAAATATATTAAGAATTTAGTTTCTAGTTCATATAAATACAGACATATGTTTTTATTTTATCTGATACTGCTTGACTTTACTTTTATTAAAAAATCGCAAAAGATGAAGCTACTGTATTACAAGTAGCAGATTTTTTTCTATTCTTCAGTAGTTTTCAAAAATACTTGAAAGGTATTTTATTGCGCGCGACGTAACTTGCACACAGCTAATATTAGCAAATACTAATAATTAGGCGGCAGAGAACGCGTAATACGAAACCGTACTCTTTCGATAATCGTATTGGACACGAATTAGATATAGTGACAGCTTCTTTTGCTTTTGTATGCATTTACGTGTCAACTTTATCAGATAATTTGTGTTTACTATCTAGGTGAGAGAACGCAGTGCTCGCAGCGTACCTATGGGTCAGTCGCGAGCTTCGCGTTCATCTTTGAGCGCTGGCACGCCTGATAGCCTTAGCGACAACGAAAGTTCCTTCAAGATATCTAGAAAAACCAGTACGCCTTACAGATCTACCATGACGCCCGGTAAGATTCCGAATTTGTATTAAAAAACACTATTACTTATGAAGCAACGAGGACAATTTATCGTAATTATCGTTAATTAATCGTATATTATATAATGCTTTATAGGTGGTAGCCGTCCATCTAGCAGACCAGCATCAAGACCTGCCTCCCGACCAGCCAGTAGACCGAGTAGCCGACCTGCGTCGAGACAAGGAAGCAAACCGCCTAGTCGATATGGATCAACGCAGTCGTTGGATGGTACGTATAAGCTTCTATTTTATAAAGTAAAAGGTAAAAAGAAAGCTTGTATGAGTCAAAGCAGCTAACGGTAAATTATTATATATATATTCACCTATAATTATATATAAAAGTATCTGTCAAAGTCGTTTCAGCCCCGTTTTGGGCTCTCTTCAGTGCTTATTAATAATGTATGTAACGTGAAATTTAAGTTTATATCGAATCTTCATTTCATTACAATTCAAATATCAATCGAGTGTTTAAAACAATTAAGATTGTTATGATAAAGTAATCTTATCAAGCCTAATAATGTTTAAATTTTTAGACAATTATAAAATTATATGTGAAAACTAGTAAATAAATGAAATTAAAATAAAAAAAATTAATTAGAAATCCAAAATCAAGAAATCCTAAATAGACATGAGAATTATAAAATTCCGTTTTATATTTTTTTTTGACAAGCCTGAAAAATTATATCTGATATCTGATTTGGCAGACGATTCATGCACCCCAAGTCGCATTCCGCGAAGAACCATCATAGGCTCCGGTAATACTCCGACGTCCAGTAGACATAACAGTGTATCTGGTAGAAAACTCACAACTCCGATGAACGGATCGAGCTCTAGACCCCGCACTCCAACGGGATTAATCAGCCCCGCCAGCGGAGTACCCTCTAGGTTTGTAGTCCTCAACACGTGTCATCTTACATATCTGAAATAGATCGTGGACTAACTCGCATTAGTGTGCCTTAAACAGGATATGTATAACCACAACTGTGTGCATATAGATTAACGATACTGTGAAACAGTAGTATTTGACTTAATGTCAAACTGATGATTCGAGGAATATTCGATATGTATATTTATCTCGAAAGAATCAACTATTTGTTTTTTAGTTTTTTATTAATTTTTATTTAGTTTTTACCCCTATTTTTTTTATTCAATTTTTTTCGCCTTTTCTTTACATTACAATTCCACCGCGTACGTACACTACATACGACATGTACCACGTGAAATACCATCAAAGTGTTTGAATATGAAGAAAGACGTATTGAACAATGCATTACATATTAATTGAACAAACCTTTTACTACATCTCATGTTAACCGCAAAACATTTACACGACTAATCGATCGGGTATAGTATTTTAATAATCATTAACAGATCTGATTAACAACATTTTTTAGGTTTGGCTCAATCCATAGAGCTTCGAGCATTCCAACCCTGACTGGTGTCGGAACACCTATCAGGTAAAGCAAATTAACGAATCGGCAATTTCATGTAAAACTGGCTCGAGGTAGCGATTTTGCAGCTTTTGCTTTGCGTTATGCATTCTATCTTTGTGAAGCACTATATATTAGAAAAAAAAGTAAGAAGCAAAACACAAAGTAAAAAGCTGTGAAGTGTTTTTGTGGTGTGGGACGCTTTTCATAAGAGATTTTAATCGTGGTGACGGCGATACATTTATGCTTATTTTTGCATCGTTATTTTTATTTCAATCCTTATGATATTGTATTTTCCTGATTTTCCTCTCTTCATTTCTGACTTCGTTTATCTAATTCTTATGCAACGCGAAAAGAGTTTCTGATGTCGTACACTTATATAATATATCGTCCGTGCAATTAAAAATAACATTTCGATGGTAATGCCTTAGCCGCTCTAGGATACCCGTATATGTGGGGGTGGATATAAAATCTCCTCAGTCGACCACCAGCAATATGTCGACTCATTCAACACAAAGCAACCATTCTACGATTTCTACTGATTCCACTGGGTATGGCTGAACTGGCGCTTTTACAATATAACCCGTTTTCCGTTTCTTCTCACATTCATTGAATGTTTTTACTTTTCTAGCATTGTGGAACTTCTTGCAACTAGTAGTATTATTATTTAACATGTTTGATGTGTTTATCTCTCATTAAAATTTCATCTTGAAATTGTATATTACGTAGCATGGCTTTATCTCGTTTGACAAAAACAGCTCGTTTATTTTCTTTACCTAATAATACCTGCAGCTTTTCATTTTATTTATCGTGTCGATAGTGCAGCCAAAGTATTCACTAATTGACATTAGCTTTTATATCCATTAAAAGTTTTGATTATAACAGTTTTATATTTAAACTCCTCAACTAACGTTTTCTTTCACAACGCTAGGAGCAGTTCCCTGTGTACCAATTCAGCAACTAATATACCAACAGCCATTAAGCAAGCTAGGTAAACATCAATATTGATTCAAAAATTTTCCTTTCTCTCCTTCATTCGTTCACTGAAAATATGCCTAAAGAAAGGTCCAATTTCGATTTGCATTCGAGCTGCTTTATTGGTATTGAAAGATAACATTTGATTACACATGTGCACGTATACGATTGTTTGTTTCAGGGTACGTACACCGTCCAGTGGATCCAGCACACCGCTACCGCCGTCTTCAAAATTATCGAGGAAACCCTCCGGAGCTTCCGACACGTCAATGTCGGGAACGACTCCGAACACACGAAAGGGAAAACCCACACCGATCGAACAGCGCGCGCCGTTCCGATTATAATAGCTTATTAACGGATACTTATAGCTTGTAAAGTCAGCATATTATACCCGAGAATATAAAGATAAATATAAAATATCCCCGCCAAATTTAAGAAAGATTGTAGGTATTGCAGGGAACATATGAGTAGGTTATTGTTGTTATATGTCGAAGGAGAAAAGCGCGTGTAATATGTGAATGCTAAATTAAATGCTGGATCAAAATTTCGTAGAAGGCAAATGATGAATCTAGGAGTTACGATTTTATCATTCATATTTCGTTGAATTTCGCCAAGTACTGAATGCCATTAAAATTACAGATACCAATGTGAGTATTTTATACTCTCTTAGGGTAAGGGATTACAGTTGGGGAAATTTATTTATTTCATGCCCGCGTTAGAAAGTGCTTAAAGCGTTTATCTAGTTTATGATAACACATAACAGTGAAATAAATTATTGTTATAAATACCATGATCTGGTATTACCAAGAGTGCAGGGTAATGCTGTATAATTGAAAATATTTAGGTGATTCCTAAATATTTAGGAATCACCGATTTTCTTGCGCTAAGGACAATACTACTAAAAAGATTTTAGCATAAAAAAAAGAAATCAGCGTTATATGTATAATAATTACACTTATGTTTGATATATATAACTAGATGCCTGTGTAATTACTTTTATATAATTTAATATAGTTTGCTCATTTTGCATGCATATCTTTGCGTGCTTTATATACCGCGTAAATTATCGAGGGTTTTCTCGATAAAAATTTTTGAGCTATATATTTGAGCAAATTATATACGCGGAGACATTAATTTATTTAATATTTTTTGCTTGACTTATTGTATTCATATGATGTAATTAACGTCTAATTCGCATTTGTTAAAAAAAAAGGAAGAATCTTGTATGCGATTTTAGATTAGATGATACAGATTGTAAACCGAATTCATTTTTGTTATCCGTTTCGCAAATTGCACCGTACATATTTTCGATTAATTATGTACTTGTAAAAATCAGATTAAATGTTTTTTTTTTTTATTTTTTTTTATTGAGTACGCTGATTGAGTAACTGAAATGTCAAACCGTGGATATTGATTTACAATCTTTACAAATCTACTTGATATTACTTTTAAACATATTTTGATATTTATGTTGTTGCGAAACGGAATATCTCGTTGCTTTGTGAAGAAATATGTACGACAGTAATCAAATGTAGTTTAGAATTATGCACAAGTTTAATCTTGGAGCGGTCGCTTCGAAAAAGTGCAATTTTTCACAAAATTACATCTATGAAATTTTTTTAAATACATCTTTCACGCGTCAATACATATTTTATGTCGTTTGTCGAGTATGAAATGTCATGAAAAAGGCTGAGATCACACACGTGTCCGCTCTAAGATTAACGTGCGATATGCTTTTGTTACATGTTTGCGAATCGATTTATCGATTAATGATCAATTAATAGATAAGTAAATAATTATTATAATTATAATTACATAATTATATAAAATATTATATAATTATTAATTATAATTGACTAATGAGAAATTTAAGAGTTCGGGGGAACATACCTAACAGCGTTAAAATAAAAAAAAAGAGAAAACTATACGTGTGAATAGTTAAGTAAAATATATTCCATTGCGCGAAGTGTGGCCTGTTAGGTGACGGGTAGAAAAGAGAAACTCTGAAAAAAAGACATTTCCATTTTTTTTACATATATACTTTTAGATGCGATTAATGTAACGGAGATATGACTCGCTGCCTCTTATAAATATTACGTAATGCGATTAATCTTATTAACAACTTCTCAACGTATGATTTTTGTTTCTTTTTCACTTACAGAGAAGTGCTGTATGATGCTAATATTAATAATAATAATGATGATGAAACAGTGACAAAAAATATAACAGACACACGCACATGATATTTTAATAAGAAACATACTCTTGACCCGTTTTATTTCTATTTTTCATTTTTAGCCGACTGTCGCGCATCATGCAAATGTAAAGAAAAATGTATATACGATATTAGTACGTACGTATAATTTTATTTCCGTACGTTCTAATTGAAGTCATGGTGTATCATGATCGAGACACGGATCCTACTGTTGCTTGCGTCCTCATGCCTAAATTAAGCATAGCTATTTAAATACACAGCGATCATGCGAGAACGGATGGGATTTTCTTGAAACGGAAATATTCGATCCTTCAGTGTTGACTGACGGCCGTATTGTGTAATATATGAAGCAGATATATTTCGGAAGGATCTGATGAAAGAAGCGACGCTTTGTTGCACGCTGCGTTGATAAGGCTTACCAAGTATCTGGACTGACGATGTGCCGACACCGCGCGTACGACTTGTAGATGTGTAATTTACGAAGGTACACTCGTATGCAGGTCTAAATGAGTTTTGTGCAGTTTTTTTTACAAACGCTTTGGGTCTACACTTTTAAGATACCTACGTCAATGCGCCCGTTGTATAACTGACCGTTGTAATCGGAACAAATGTTTTCACACTGAGAAGACCGAGGACGAGACACGGATATACGGATGTCGGTGTGGTATGTGCAAGAGATCACTGTGAAAAGAATGTGTAAAGTATCAGAAGGTGTTTCTTTACCATACAGCTCTGTGTCGTGTTCTATCATACCCTTCCTTCTCTGATTTAATTACTATCGTTAGATCGATGTTTTTTGTAGGAAGTAACATATGGCAATATCAGCAACAAAATACATTTTACTTTAATAATTGTTGCACATTGTTACAGATGTTAAATATTGGAAGTTTCCTATATTATACAAAATAAGTATATCTAGCTATAGATACTCTACTTGATATGCAAAAGTGTATCATAATACTACTAAAAAAAAGTAACGGATCGCTCGCATAGTGCTTTCAGCTGTCGTAGCTTCAATATCTGGCCGTTCTTCGGGTACACAGCTCTGGTATGAATATCGTATATACTCTATATCTGGCACACATAGGCTACGATCTACTTGAGGTACAAATGCTTCGAAGCATTTTTTTATTAGTTAATTAGTAAATTTTTTTTGATTGGTCAATCAAACGTTTCGAAGCATCTGTAACACCAAGTGGACCACACCCAAAATCTCTTTAAATTATGATAGACACACTATCACAATGAACGTAGAAAATAATTAGATCGATTCAAATCTATAAAACGTATAGAGAACAAGACGTGAAAGAAACTAAGTACGTCATATTGTTGATATACGAAAAACGTGTGAAACTTGATATAATAGTAAATGCAAGATATTTTTTGAGAGATTATCTTACATGAGCATGAATTCCTATGGAGTGTAGCGAAAAAGATTTATAATAAATAAATTTGGAGTTTTTAAAATTGCAACGTTTAGAATTCTTCTGACCTATATTTTCCCGAAATTTCGTTAATTTTGAAGAATTTAAATTTCCGCGATTCGCGAATCCTTAGATTTAAAATTCTAGGAATTCTCGGAATCTCAGTGTCGTCCTTTTGCTCACCATAAAACTTTGCTATAATTTTCAAACTTAATTTTTCTTTTATCGACTTCTCGATCAGGACATCTAAAGATAAAACTCTAGGAATTTTTGGACTACTAGTGATTATGTTTTCCTGATGCCTGTAATTTACTATTTTTTTAATATTTTCAGATCATTTTGTTTTACGATGTGTTAGTGTATTTTTTTAACAATATGGTGCACTTGGCATTTCCCTCTTCTTACACTTTACACGAGATATAGCTGCGATCCAAATATTTCTTATGTTATATGGATCATTTAGAATTTAGACATTCAATATCTTAACATATATTATTCAATATCTACATATACGTGCATCATGGATTTACATAGAATTAGCAGCTTCAGCATATGATTCCTCGAATTATATAGTTGACCTATATGAAGCATACACATTTAATTAAAAATGCGCTTATCCGCTCAACCTGGATCCTGGATTTAAAAAACGAGATTTTGTTACTGAATGCCAATTTAGTATTTTATTTTACGACATTTACAGAATAATACAATCGTCCTCTTAACGTCAGACTACTTTGAGTGAATCGATCTAAAATAAAAAGAGATAAAAGTCAATTATCTGCCAGAATCTTCACGGTCATGTTAAAATATGTTAATTATGAGATAGTTCATGTAAATATACATATAACTTTTTAATTTAATTTATAAAGAATCACAATGCCTTTTTAAAAATGTATAGAAAATAAATTCGAAGTAGAATTAATTTAGTATTCAACAAGTGTTTCCTGCGAAATTAAATTTTTAATTTTGGACGTTAGGAATATGTATTTAAAAAGTTTTGAATCTCAATAAATTTTTCATATAAATAACTAATTATTTTTCCGAGACAACAGAAAATTAAAAAATAAAGTTTTTCAATTAGAATACAAATTATATAATCTTTATTATATTTTATTTAATATAAGATTTAGTTTAAGATATATGTATATGAGTTTTTATATAGCTATTCCCTCTTCTTTTTGCTATTTCTTCTCGTTATTTCATTATATATAAAAAAAATTCATTATCTCTATAGAACGTGTAGAAATGATATCGACATTACGTATCAAAGATAAATGTAACACAAAAATTCAACCTTATCTGACAGAGATTTCATATGCGGTTTTAATTTTACCATATAGAAATATTAGTTTTCTCGAGAGAATTTTTAATTTAATAGAAAGCTTTTTTTTATCAGATATTTGTATACTCTCAGTTCACATAACTTCTTTGAAATTTTCATTGGTATGTAATATCGCATAGATCACAATCCACGTTGGCATACGATGCACGTTACACTATATCTGTAATCTCTATAGTAACGTACGTAGTGATCCCGATGAGAGTGGAGTACAGAGTATAGAGATGTAGCATCCACAGGGCGGGAATGGCGGAAACTCGTTTTATATAAATTTTGCTGAATTCGGCAACGTATGCAGTCGTTTAAGAGTATCTAGATACCAGCAGCAGTAATGTTTTACTGAGTAATTACATTTTACATTCTGTTACTTATCAATGTTTCACTTATTTGCTTGAAGCTTATATATATATATATATATATCATGATTTATTAAATAAATTATAACAATTTTTTAATAAACTATAATATTTAAAATTTTGATAAGTTAAGAAGCTAACAAAAAGCGTGAAAAATTATTAATTTTTGCAGTATTTTTTGATCTCTTAGAAAAATATTAAGTAATATATTATCTCAGCCGGAATTCAAATTCAGATCTCCAGAAAAGCTTTCCTTCTTAGTTGTGTGGTGTATTCACTTTACACAGTCTTAAAGACATTTTGTTTAATATTGACAATAATATTTGATATCTTCTTGTTAATGCGCAAATTATCAGCTATTTTATTGGCGTTTTATTGGCTACGTTGTCCGCGCCGGGATCGTTGAACCGGATGCAATAGTCGCAACAACCAGCTACGACGGTTATTAAAGCCGAAAAACTACGATTCTCCTCGGTATAGCTTCGGATATAACATGGCAGATGGTTTCATGGTACGTTTCTGCAATATAATTGTAATCCCACAGGGAATGACTGATCCGCACAGTCATTTGAGCTTGGCGAATCCACGGACCAATTCAATACACTGTGGACACTCACAATATACACTGTAAATTTATACATCAAATATATTCATACTTATACATTTTTATAATGCAATAAACATTTGAGGAAAGTGGGAACAAAATACAATTTAATCTATATAACAAAAAAATAGAAATAAAACTAAGACTTATACACGTGGCTGTTCTATCTATTTGATACAGATAGAATAGCGAATAGCGAAAGCGAAGGTTATTTATTATTTATATTAATTAATTTAAAAAATGTAATTTGAAAATAATATATATATAAATAGTACCTATATATAATTAACGACTTATGAAAATTCAAAATAAACAATATATAGTAGTAAAATCGAATCTTAATTCGATAAGAAAATGTCTGGATTTAAGACGGACTTCGTAATTAAGAGAAAGTTAAGCCGAAACGACATTTCCGAACGTTCCAAATTCGCAGAGTGGATTGCTGCCGATATCTCTTAATTCAGCTATTTGTTGTATCTGTTCATCGGGTTCGTTCCATCGAATTAGAATTCAGGAACTTCGTCGGGAACTTAAATTAAAACACCGGTCGGGACAATGCGCGCTTTTCCGTGAGAACGTCGCACGGAACTTTGGTCGAAGTATTATGAACGCATACTCTTATACTTTTCAAGACGACAGCAAGGCGCAGGAAGGGACTTGCAACGGCGATGTAGTTTACGGAAGTTACAGCTTAATCGAGCTCGACGATTCCCAGCTCACTGTCTCCTACCGACCGATCCTATCAACGGTTTTAACGCGGTCGTGCAACGGGACCGAGGCATCACGGTTAAAACCATCGCTGTTGCTGCACCCCTTCCTGCAGCGACGTTATGCTCCGTGATCGCTGCAACTGCACCAGCGGCGGTTACAGTCCGTTCCGTAGGTTGGTAATCCAGTTACTTTTTCTCTCGGTCCATTAGTCTCTTCACGAGATAGAAGGACAGAAAGAGAGATCTATCGCGGGATTCTTTGCTGGATTTGAGGATTCGCTGGGCTCTCTTTCTCACCGAGAATTGTCAAAGAAAATGCGATACCGACGAGAGATTCTGTACGCTAAATCGAGCATGAGAGAGAAAAAGAGCGAGAGAGAGAGAGTTGCTGCAAAATTCTTCACGTTGCTGAAAATGTGAAAATGCACGCGCGTACATTTATTATGCAGGCGATTGTCGTGGGTGCACCCCTGCTGAGGCAGTCGTTCATCTCCGAATCTACGCTGGCCGCGACGAACGTTGTCGTCGCGAATTCAGGACTGGTGGGTCTTGGTGAAGGTTTGTAA